GGGAGATGAACCATGAGAGAGGATGGACTCTGAGAAACAAACTGAGGGTTCTGGAGGGGAGGGGGGTGGGGGGATGGGTTAGCCTGGTGATGGGGTATTAAAGAGGGCACGTACTGAATGGAGCACTGGGTGTTATACGCAAACAATGAATCATGGAACACTCATCAAAAACTAATGATGTAATGTATGGTGATTAACATAACAACAACAACAACAAAGAACCTATACTGAGGAAATACTTATATAACAGGACCCAGTGTTTGGCTGTGAGAATGGTTATCAGAGTATTGTTTTGTGGTAGCGGTTATATCTAATTAAGGAAAAGTGAAACCTAATTCAAAAGTCAAACATAAAAGATTGGTTCAATTATGGTACAATCACACAGTAACCTACTGTAATGAACAATGATGACTTGTATAAATAATTCATACTCTGCAAATTTACTTTTAAGTGAAGAAAATCAGGATACAGAAGAGTAATGTACAGTAAAAATCCATTAACGTGAGTGGTATGTAAAGAGATCTTTATATTTAATTTATTGCCCTTTTTCTTTTTCCAAACTCTACCATGATTAACTAACACTTTTATAATTTCAGATAACCACATTTTCCCAATGTTTAAAACAATAAGCTGTAGGGGCACCTGGTGGCTCGGTTGTTAAGTGTCTGCCTTTGGCTCAGGTCATGGTCCCAGGGTCCTGGGATTGAGCCCAGCATCAGGCTCCCTGTTCAGTGGGAAGCCTGCTTCTCCCTCTCCCACTCCCCCTGCTTGTGTTCCCTTTCTCGCTGTCTCTCTGTCAAATAAATAAATAAAATCTTTAAAAAACAAACTAACTAACAATAAGCTGTAATGAGACCTGAGCTGAGATCAAGAGTCAAGAAGCTTAATTGACAGAGCCACCCAGGCACCCCTGTTTACAGCAGCAATGTCCACAATAGCCAAACTATGGAAAGAGCCCAGATGTCCATCAAGGGATGAATGGATAAAGATGTGGTGTATGCATATACAAGGTAATACTACTTAGCCATCAAAAAAATGAAATCTTGCCATTTGCAACGATGTGGTATTATGCTAAGCGAAATAAGTCAATCGGAGAAAGACAATCATCATATGATCTCACTCATGTGGAATTTAAGAAACAAAACAGAATATCATAGGCGAAGGGAGGGAAAAATAAAATAAGATGAAATCAGAGAGGGAGACAAACCATAAGAGACTCTTCAACATAGGAAACAAACAGTGTTGCTGGGGAGGGGGAGGTAACTGGGTGATGGACATTAAGGAAGGCATGTGATGTAATGAACACTGGGTATTATAGAAGACTGATGAAATCACTGAACTCTACCCCTGAAATAATACACTGTATGTTAATTAATTGAATTTAAATTTAAAAAAATAAACTGTAATGATTATAGAAGAAATGTGGGAGACCTAGAGAAATCTACACAAATGTGGGAATAGCTTGGGAAACTGGTTTATCTTAATAACTGTCAACAATTCATTTTTTATCATTGTTAGCATACGATGGAAGTTTTTGCTAAAAAAAAAAAATCTGGTCTTCCTAGCTAAATGAACCCTAAGTATTAATATGCTAATATCAACTATCTCATAATGATTTTTAATGCCAATTAAAATGCGAATAATATAGGGGCGCCTGGGTGGCTCAGTCGTTAAGCTTCTGCCTTCGGCTCAGGTCATGATCCCAGGGTTCTGGGATCAAGCCCCGCATCAGGCTCCCTGCTCAGCGGGAAGCCT